TTATAACAAATGCATCAGATATAATATTTATTTAGTCAGCAGCTGAGGGTATCTTTTTGGGAGACATGTTTCCCACTAAGAATTTAATGGCTATAGCATACTCAGGTTCGAACTGGAAATTTCTGATTAAGAGAGATCAACAATAATGTACAGTATTTGAAAAAAAATCAAAATGAAATAATTAAAGAAAACGCATTCCAACTTTTGACGTGTTCTTACTGGATTAAAAAAAAAAAAAAAGAACGGGACCATGATGTGCCCCAACAAGAGGCAACAGGCACCGTCAGATCCGGCAGGGAGGATATCATGACCGCACAAATATAAACGATATGTTTATTGAAGAGATAGCACCATTAATTTAGGGGTCTAATGGGATCAAACGTAGTCAGCTTTTTAATTAGGGTTCCAGAAAGGCAGGGTTCTGTAATCTGAAATCTTAGGCCCAATATTCTTCTAGGGATTGCTGATCCCAAAATTAAATTAAATTTTCCTTTTTAAAAATTCATTAAAAAACCCTAAATTCTCCTATAAATGCCTCCCTCCCTCCCTTTTCTCCTACACCTAAGCCTCCCTTTCTCCTTCTTCTCTTACCATCTCTCACCCTCTCATTATCTTTAATCCTCCTCCTCCTCCTCCTCTTGAATTAGGGTTTTGATTCTGCCATGAACCTTCCACGCCACTCTCTTAATTATGGCTCTGTCTGTATTCTTCCACAGCTTTCTTGAACTGCATCGAAGAGCAAGCTTCTTTACATGCATGCCGAATCGTCTTCTCTGCGGTTCAATAAAGCTGTGGGAAGATACAGATAGGGTCAACGACGAACTTTCCAACTTTGGATTAGATTCTGCTTCAGAATCTCCAAGCCGTGCTGTGTAATTCTCGCATCGGTTCAGATCGTTCTCAGATTCGATATTATACTTTTCTGAATCTTATCAGAATTATACGATGCACGTTAGTTCCTCCACAGATTCATGGCGATGAACTGGTGATTTATACATTGCCAGAATATATTGGCCTCTTCTTCTTCTTCTTCTTCAAACTAAGAGTAATAGAAATACACGAAAGGGAAAATTTCGAATGATGTTTTGTTTGTGTCAAATTCATCTCTCTTCCTTTTCCTCTTTTACCTGGAAAATGTTGGAGGGATGCCTATTTTGTTTTGAATGCACATGACAAACATGTTGTGATATGCGTTGTCTGGATGTATGATGGGATTTTTTTTATTTTTTTATTATCTATCTATCTATATATGTCTCTTTAATTGCGGTCTGTGTCGAATCAAGTTTATCATTATATTCCTGTGCTAGCTGTTAATTTCCAGGATTTAAAATCTTTCCCCTATACTCTCTCTTCAATATATAACTTTTTCCTTTTGTTTTAAAGCGTCCCCCATGTGTAGCCTCCATTGCAGGCAAAAGTTAGAATTAATGGCGGATCAAAGGTCATCATTTTAGTCTTGTATATACGAACATGTCTCACTTAATTCTTTAAACCCTTCGATCTGTTCTTTGTGTTGTTAATTTCAGTCGACAAGCTCACAGGTGGTTCAGTAATTAAATATTCATATTCTAGCCTGCACAGATTCATCAGCACACACATTATTGTTAGCTTGTTTCTATTAATTAATCAATTATTCATCTTACATTCTCACACTTTCACCGTTTTCATAAACTCATCATTCTTATAATTTACAGTAACTATAAAAAAAAAAATTGATGGTACATTGTTCAGATTCATCCTGGTGAGCTATATGAAGATATTGTTTTTAAAATATCTGCAGGTCACAATAAAGACTTCCCATTTTTTCTTTTTTGTGAAGTGACATTTTTCTTTTTAATTTCATCAGTTTGGCGATGGATAGGCGATGGACCACAGAGGTGTGACCATACTATGCCTTTATCTCTGTTGTTTGAAGCTTCATCCAATAACAGCTTATATATGAAAGCCTTTAAGCCAATTGGTTAGTGATGCTAGAGTGTTAGGTGAAAGCTTTTATGGAAAAGAATAACCATAAGGAAGCCCCTAACAATTCACTCAGAAATCTGTACCATGCTTGTTTTTTTCCTCTCCATTAAAGAAACCAACACACACACACACACATGCCCCCAGAAAATATGCAGATCAGAAAGAAGCAGCACTCAACTTCTGGATGAAAATTAGGGTTTACTATCCTTTCCCTTTTTAAGTTACACAATTTTCCAGATTCAAGGAATTAGATGATGATCCACCTGCAAGTACTGTTTCTTTTGATTATCAACTGTTTTTACTATTTATTTTGATTTCAACTAATTAAGATTCAAATTTGAACCCTTAGCTCTCGAGATGACTGGTATTAACTAGAGAATCCATATTCCCTAAAGTCATAAGGAATATAATAAAGATCGAATGAGTGTAAGAAATGAGAGTGGAATCATCAGTCTATTTTGTTCCTATGCATGAAATTACCAGTGAATTAGGGTTTTTTTAATCATTTTGAATTATACTTGTTCAATTTCTTCTCGTGAGGGCATTTGAAACAGTAAACAATCGTTTTCCTGTTGAATATATAATACAAAGGGAGAGAACCAATAAATGAAAACCTCTTTTCTTTTTGAAATGATAATGGAAAAAAAGTCATATGACCCATGTCACTTTAATTGCAAGGATCAGCATCCTAATGTAACCCACTAATCTAACATACAGGCTGATTTGTTCCTGATTTAATGGCTTTGCTAGTTTATTTTCTGTTTCTGACAAATTCTTTTTAACTTCTTGATTATGATGTTTCTGCTTTACTATTTTTTTTTCCCTTTCCCTCCTTGGTCTCTTGATCTATTATTTATTTATATTCTAACTTTAATTCTTTAATACTTTAAAGAGTGAGAGCCTCCCACTACTTTCTCAATATGGTTTTCTCTATAATTATTTATCTGTCTTAAATAGTTAAACGTTTATGGGATTGAACTGATAATGCGGGTTAAGTGAATACAGTGCATAAATTTGTAGTCAAATAATGTTGTTTTGTCTGATTCTTGGTCAATATAATTAAATATAGAGGCTCTAATTTTCCTTGGAGAAAGATAAAAACTGCTAAAGTTAGATTTCCTTGTGCTTTGTGATGCGGGGAGGGTGGGAGATCAGTGAAAAAGAGTTAAACAGCAGATAAATTAATTTATGTGCCAATTAATAGACAATCCTCTCGATCTTTACGCATTTTGTGAATTATAATAACATTACTCAGTACATAGACCTTCATTGATTTTATCTAGAAGGGAAAGTTCAGCATCGATTGGCTAAGAATTCTGATCAACCTAGCCAGCTCTCTAAACTATGCTATACATGACAGTGATGAACACATCCGTCTCTGGACAAGACAGTAATTTCCCCGAGATGTAGCAGATTCAACCCTACATTCCCCCCCCCCTCTATATAATATAAGCTACATGTGATTGAATTTTATATTTTGATGGTTTTGATGTGAATTGATTCATTTAAAAATAATTTATATTTTTTTATTATTAAAAATTGACTCACCAAGATTAGGATTCCAGATTTAAAGAATATTTATAAAAAAACTTACAGATCATCGATTAAAAAATTTTTACATCAGTAACGAGATTTAGATTAATAATTTTGTGAAGTTGATCAAATTTTTATCAACTGGATCAACTTTCAATTGGTAAAAACTTGCATTGATTAATAAGGTTGAAAATGTATTATGTGGAAGAGGTTTTACTCTAATACCTACCATTCATTTTATAAATTTTCTTCCAAAAAGGACAAGAAAGAAAGAGAAGCAAGAGCATATATACTGATGGTAATCAAGGAATAATATAATAGACTAGGTCCAATGGATATTTGGATTGGTTCCTCTTTTCTATTTTTATTTTTAATGAAATTAAATACATACATACATACATATATATATGCACAATTGAAAACTGTTGGCTATATATATAATTTTCCGTGATGGGTGAAGGATGGATTTGCTTTTGTTGTTTGTTGAGGCACTTTCACATCAGAAAAGGAAAAGTGTTACCATTATCATCTGGCGTCCTCTTTGTTCATCAGTTTTCTTACGTCAATACCATACCCTACACTTCATGGCTGGCCTTCCTGTTCCTTCTCTTTCATTCGAAGTACTCACTATATATATATATATATGACTCATCTATTTTCTGCCTTTCTCTGCTATCACGAGTTGCAGTATATGACCTGAATTTGAACTTTCAAGCTCACTGCACTGTCCTTCGTTAGTGCAGATCATTAGTACTGAGTCGTCAAGGTTAACTTGTTTAAAAGGCTATCATCTATGACTACGGCTTTAAGCCTTTAAAGGACACACACACACACACACACAGAGTATATATGATTTTAATATTTATTACAGTGGCTGGCAAGATGTCGATGTGTGAATTAGCCTTTTTGATGCTGATCAGGACTTGAAGAAAAAAAGGAAGGAAAATGAAGTGGGGTCGTGCATTCATGTTCTGAATAGTAGAACACACATACACAAACTGCTTTGGATGATAATTAAGTTTCATTTAACCTTATGTGCTACCTATATAGCTATATTGTCTTGGACTCCAAGATTCGTCCTTATAGGGAAATTAAAAAAAGATGCTCCTTGCTGATGATGTATATTTGCGTGGATTTTTTTTTTTTTGAAAAAAGCCATTAAGTGTATATACCTACACACACACAAATGCAAAGGAGTTATATATTATAATTATGTCCTGCATTGTGAAACCTAAATCTTTTAAATGCGGTTTAAATAAGACAAAATTCAACGCTGATGAAACTAACTAGATGTATAATCTATTTCGAGCTGCATACCTTATAATTAACTTACATAAATTGACATGTTCCTAATCTCTTCCTTAAATACTTTCATACGGGTGTGGATACACAATATAAGCAATGACATATGAAATTAAAATCCTCTTTGTTTCGACATATAACCCTACGGCCTTATAAATCTACATTTTTGGGTTTACTAACGTAAAAAGGTACTCCAGAAATAATGAGTGACATCTTTTACTCTATATATTGCATTGCGTGGCACACCTATAATGTTTGCAGAACAGATACTTGTACAAGAGTTAATCACAAGTAGTAAACTGTGTTTCTTCTTTCTGAAAAACAAAAGCTGGGGATTCAAACTATGGTCTCAAAAAGCAAGTAAAGAATAATTCCGTACTATGAAACATGGCTCAGAATTCAGATCTTTTAAGCCTTTTTTTTTCCTTCTTACTTCTCCTCCTGCCACAACATTCATACAATGTTGTGTCACAGTTCAAAAACTGAGATTCATGTGATTCTCAGTTGAGGTTTCGTGTGTCTGTGTTCAAACCTCCCACTATTTCCCATCTGCGCCCCAAAAATTTGAGGGAAAAAATATGTAAAAGTTAGCCTAATATATGGCACTTCACTGTTACTGCATAATGCATATAAACACACGCATACAAAGAGTACTATATAATAATCATATCTTAGGAAGCTCGGAAACGTGGCCATGCCTCTCTGTCGAGCGTCTGATTTTTTAACCTGATTTTTGGTGGACCAACCCCCTCTGCACAAGTTGTTGTATTCCCTTTGGCTAAACCTTCAAATTGTAAAACTTTATGCTTTACGATTTGGTAAAGGTGCTATTTTGGGTTAATCTTATTTTCTCCATATATCTGTTTCTTCATTTATATAGCTATAACTCTATACCATATCGCGGAGCTTCTTTTGACTTCAATGGCAAGATTTCTGGTGCTGAATACTATCCATTGCATATATATAAACTGAATTGAAACATGAACATGAGAATAAGAACCAAAATAATCTGCTGACATCAACATGTCAATTATATGCAGAAGTAATTAACCAGCTCATTAAACAAATAATTTGATGATTAATTAATAAAAAATATTGCTTCTAATTAAGTTGTTTTAACCTAATTATTCATTTGGAATTGGATTTGGCTGTAAAATTGAAAGATCTAAGGTGAGTTCTAAAATTGTCAATCAAAGAAGAATATGTGGTTGTATGAGTTATTGAAAGATACATGAGGAATGGAAAGGGAGTAGTCAATATCCAGTATCAGTAAAACTGAGATGCCTTGAACTTATGTGTAAAATGGAGAAAAGGATTGAAAACCTACCTTTAGTGACAACAAAGAGTCATAAATTACAGTGATTTCAGCACCAAGTTGGCTACGTAGAGAGAAAGAGACAGGCGGACACACAGAGGGAGAGGGGAGCAGAGAAAGAGGTTAAAATGTGAAATGTGAGAGGGAAAATTGAAAAATGATGTCAGGTGGGAGAGAAGAGGGAGTGGTTTAAAAAAAAAAATGATGTCACATGGTGACAAAGGCTAACCTTTTTCACAGAAATGTAGGAAGAGAGATATGGATTCGCCTTCACTAAAAGGCCCAACACTAAGAAACTTTCATCATTTATAAATGTCCTCCTTTGGGAATCTTCTTTCTTCTTTCTCTCTGCTACTCTTCTGCGCCATTATTTTTATTACTACTACTACTACTATTATTATTATTAATTCAAACAGCAATTCTCTGTAACTTTTCTTTTTCACCACTTCAAATCTACCAGATTCTCGTTACGACTTTTCACCATAAAATTCTACAACAATTACTATACCCCTGCATGGCTCAAATAATTAACAACGTGTTTCTTCCTCATCACTTGTAATAATTAACACTAAACTATTGTTTTTCAGCTTTCAGGATCCAAGACCCAAACAGAAATCTATTCAATCTATGCAAATTGACAGCCGTACCTTCGTTTTCCTTCGTTGAAATCGGAAGAGATTTGATGTACATTTTTCCGGTACACCGGTTCTATTTTTTTCTTTTTGGGTCCTGCGTTCTCTTCCTTAAGGAGAGAAAGAGACAGAGAGGAGAGAGAAGGAAAACGATTGGATTTAGATCGATCTTGCCAGAGAGACAGTAATTGAAGCACAGATTAACAGAGGAGTTAAGATAATTAATTACCGCATATGAGATATAATGAATCAGAGTCGGCGAGAGGATAAGGATAACAAAAAGAGCAACTCGGGAATTCACCGTACGCCGTTGTCGTCGCGGTTCGTCGGAAATTCTGCAACTCTCTCGATCTTCACAGCACAGAAAATGGAAAAACAAAAAAAAAAACAAAAGAAAGCCTGAATCGCCATGTTATCCCACAGCTTTCTTGAACTCCTAGGGTTTCCAATCTGCGAGTTAAGACGCTCAAGAAGTTCAAGAAAGCTGTGGAAAAGCATGACCAGGACTTGAACGAAGAATTGACCCTCAGATCTCGTCATATACGGAGAAGGAGGAGGAGGAGGAGGCGAAGTAGAACAGAGAATATAGTAAATAAGAGTGAGCGAGAAATTATAAGGCCATGCCCATACAAAGCTAGCTAGCTATCTATTTATCTAGCTCTCATGGACCACTCTACCATTTATAAATCGATCTACCAGCTTTATAGAGAGAGAAGGCTGTGAAAAAGAGCGAGTATAACTGTAGCCTTAATTCTTTTCTTCTTCTTCTTCTTTTTTTTTTTCTATCTTTTTTAAATTAACCACTCAGAATTCAAAAGTCATATTAAACTAAGACTAATCCGTATCAAACGGGTTAAAACTACACGAGCGTCAAGGCTCTCCCGACAGATATACCCAAAACTTGAATACGAACTAACAATGAGAAGCAAAGTTCTCTCAACAGTTACCTAAAGCTCGAATTTGAACTATGCTGGTTAATTAAGTTAGCATAATCTTTTTAGAAATTGCTATCTTTCACGGCTGTAATTTATTTCTCATTGAAAACAATTACGTTTGAGTCACGGTGAGATGCTAAATATAAATGGCAGTAAAGTTTGAAGGTATGATTCATTTTACTAAGAGAGTCTGAGTATTTACCAACAAAATAGGCATACTTTCGCGGTGTGAGTGCGCAGTGGGTCACATACTCATTACACAGAAACAAGCACACAACACTCACAAACATGTCATATGCATAAAGAACAATAATCTTCCCATAAAAAGACAAATCAAAGGAACCAATGAAATTCGGCCGCTCTGTAATACTCAAGTCGTCTCCAAAATAAAAGGATCTGAATTTGAATTTAAAAATTGAAAATAATTCTTCAAAGCTGGCCTGGCCTGGAGCTGCAGGCAGCTAAGCTAGAGGAAAAGGATAAACATAAAGACCTCATTTTTAATGTCCAAAAAAAAAAAAAACTCCCCATCCCCTCACATGCAACCATGTGAGCAGCCCCCCCTTTCCCTTTTTTATTTTATCAACTACAAAAAATTAAAGGTATGGAGTTGTTTTATGGTCCCCAATCCTTTGTACACACATACACATTATCAATTAATCAATGCATGCATCAGTTAAATTATAGTTCTAAATTAGGGATAATATAACTTTTAGTTTTCAAAGTTTTCCTCAACAGTTAATCCAGTACTCCTTGAACTTTGATTTAGTATAACTCACAATCCATCTAGTTTATTGAATTAAGAAATTATAGGGACTGATTTATACCAAATTAAAAGATCATAAGGAATGAATTATTTAGAATTGATAAACAATGGGAATTGAGGTCTTGAGTCAAAATTCAAGGACAAAGTCATGATTGAGAACAAATTCAAGGGTAAAAAAATTTATATTTTCTCTCGAGATTATCATGAATCATTTTGTTAAAATTTGTTGTTGATTGCACGTATGTATTCTCCTATTGAAAATAATTTGTTCGAAACATGATCGAGTATTAAATGTGAATACTTCTTTCAATTACAGAATTTAAAAACATTAGTTCGATATATTATGAGGATGAGCCCTTTTGCTAAACCAGACCCTGTTGGTATTTTGTTGCATTTTTCAAGTTGATCGATGAGCTGTTTAAGAATGAAGAGGCTTTTGTACTTAATATGTTAATATATAATGTAGGTGCATGGGTTTTAACTTGTAACCAGAGAGGAAAGGATAAAAGAAGCAGAAGAGATAGGAAGAAGGTAAGGAATTAGGCAAATATGTATATAAAAAGTGAATTCCTAATTTTGCAGCTCTATTAGTATATATGAATCCTTGAGGACTTTGGCAGCTATATGTGTGCTTCACACCTGTAACTACCTACTTACAGCAATCAACATGTACTGCTTCATGAAGTGGTTGAGCTATTAATGCCAAATGTTTGCTCCAAATTAAAAAGATAAATCTACCCATCCATTTTCTTCACTTTTCCTCCTCTAGCTACCTCTATCATATATATATATATATATATATATATATTCTTTCAGTTCTATTTATAACTTATAAAACATCTTTTAGAAATATTTTTTTAGTTCAAAATATAAACACCTTATAATAACTAATTTTTTTTCTAATTTTACCCCTGTAATTGTATCATTATTTAAAGTCAAGGATAAAAATGAAAGTATCTCTCACTTTTTTATAATATAAAAAAATTAACTTTTCTTAAGATATGTAGAATAGTTAAAAGTGTCTTATAATAAGGACCGAAGGGAATATATCCCAATTAAACCTTGACACTGTTTAATTTTTTAAATGTTGACAGATATCTTGAATATAAAAATTGATTTGATGTTCGATAATCCACTCTTAATTTTCAACTGGATATATATGTGACCAATTTGTTATCTATGATATAAAATAAAGAGTATTGATTGTTATTCTCTTATCTTTCTTGGCTGAACATGAACTACAAAATTAAATATACCACAAGTAGAGAAAAATAACAGAAATGTAATGGTTCACTTGTGCTCAAATATAAGTGAATTTATTGAAAAATTCAAGGATTCAGAAATAAGTTATTACTTATAGATCATTAAATGCTTATTTTCCATGAATATGTCTGGTTCAAAATTTAAAATTTGGGCAAAAAAGAAAGAGTTAAAAAAACCAATTAGTTAGCAAGGGAAAATTTGAAAAAAATATATATATATTACCACTTTTCATGATATGTATAGGTATATATAATTGCGACTCATATTTGATGTCGAGTAAGGTAGTTTTTATCATGAAAAAAGTAATAACTTCGGTCCGTTTGGTTTGTATAAATGAATAGAATAGAATGGAATAAAAAAATAAGACAAAAATAAATTAAATTACCTTAATATATATTAATAACTCATTATTATATACTATAAATGTGAGAATCATCACACTCTTCAAAAATCTCATGAATTATAATTTCCAACCCTATGAGTTAAATTACTACTCTTCCTTGGAATGTGCTCACCTATCTCCTTTAATCATCTTATTTTATCTTATTTTTTTAATTCATTCCATTATTTTCTAGTAAGCAAATGGAGCTAGAGTCTTTGTCTGATTGTATTACTAAAATCAAAGCGATTGTGTTAAAAATGGGTGGACAATATATAAAATCAATCAGCTGGGTATTTTGACTTATGTTTTTTTAAGTATGTAGTAGTTATTACTCCCTCTAGTTCTATTTATAAAGTAAAGAGAAAATAATCTTTTTTATTTATAACATCATTAAATTTTTATATAAATTTTCTTTCTTACCCTCCATTGAATGTTAGAGAGAGAAAATATATTATTAAAGTATACGTATATTTAATAGGACAAAATTGAGAACTTATTAAATTTTAAGATGGGGTTAATAAATTTTAAAATTTTTCTTGGTACGGGTGAAATATGTTGAAAGTAATTTATAAATAAGATTAAAAGAGCATTAGTAAATATGAAGACAAACTATGAAAAACCAAAAAACAAAAAATGATAGACCCTCTTGAATCAATCATAATTAATGGACACTACTGTAATATTTTCCCAATGAAGAAATCATGTGTGGATGCCGCTCTGATTAATTAGTAAATTCTAGGCTAAAATACATAAAACTCTCTCACTTTTAAACATTTAAAATAAACTCCCATAACTTTTAATTTTATTTTTCAAAACCACTATTCTTAATTAACTCTATTATATTATTAATAGAGTTTTTCATGTGATATTAATAAAATACACATGACATGAAAAAAATATTTTTATTAATTTTTTATGGAGAATTGCAGTCAAGAACTTTTTAAAAGAATTATTTGCAGACAATGACAAACAACAAATCACCATTTGGAAAAAACAAGTTGTTTTTACTATTTTAACAACAAACAATTTCATATTAGTTCTTATATGCAAATAATTCTCTTTGGAGAGGTTCTTGAAATTGTAATTTTTACTTTTAACACACATGACTATGTTCTCATTTTTTTTAGTTCAACAACATTGTTCTAATTATTTACTGTAACATAATTTGAGAGAAAAACTATAATTTTATTATTCTTTATCAATTAAAACAGCCTTTTATATTAAACAAATGAAAAGAAAAATATCTCAAAGCTATCATTGAAAACTACACACCTTTGATAATGAATAAATATAATAAAACTAATACAAAAGTAATATTAAAAAATAATGTAATTTTTATGCACTTATTATTTGCTTACATAAAATGTCATGTAAGCTTTTATGCAAACTCTATTAACATAACAAAATAATTAACATTAGGGGATTTTGAAAATAAAATTAAAAGTTATATGGATTAATTTCAAACGTCTAAAAGTGAAGGGATTATATGTAACTATCTTAAAATTTATGGAGGGTTTTATATATTTTAGTCTAAATTATATAGAAAGAGTTTGCAACAAACAGAATCAGGAATGTGACCACGACCCAAACATTTTTTTTTAAACCCAAACATTTTTTTTTTAACATTTGTTCTCTCTATCTCTCGCTTAACTGTTATATTCAGTTAATCTTGTGTCGGGCCCCAAAAAAAAAAAAGTTTAATATTGTGTAGTTAAAAACGATGTAGAGTTAGGGCATCAGTAAAATAAATGAATGGGTGAGATCTAACGATGCATTCGCACAACACAGAATTGGTTGGATGGGTAACAAAAGATATTATCATCACACTCGCAGACACACAAAAATTATTAATATAAATAAATAATAGATATAGCATGTGCAAACTTTGGAAGTTTATGTCACTCTTGTGGACCTATCAACACCTGCTGCTGCTGCTGGGTTGTGGCTCTTGGGTCCCCCAACCCTATCATCTCTTAAATTATTTTTGTCACCTTATATTTATCTATTTATTATTTATTTTCCATTAATTTCAATTCAATGGGATCAATATATATATATAAAAATTGAAAGAAATTAAAAAAGAAAAAGAGGAAGTGGCAATAAATTGAAAGAAAGTGAGGTCCACCAGATGTGTCGTCACCAGTCATCAGTTTGATATTCAGTTTGTTTTCATTTGTAGTGACAGTGTACGGAGCAAGTGGGTTGGTTTAAGTTTCGCACGAGACCTTTCAATATTCCTTTGGTTTCTATCCTCTGTGTGCCGCCATACCACACTTCATGCTATGCTCTTCTCTTCATATTTCTTCA